GGTTGATGGAGGAATGGATGGCTATATGAGGGTAGGTCAAAAGAATCGCTACAAAATCCTGGAAACCGTTATTACACAAACGTCTCACAATGAGAAGAGATTACTTCTCCACACCTCCTCCATCTCGCCCTCTGCACGTCTGCAGGCAGTGTGTCCACCTCTCTAGCCCTTCCCCGGGTAATTCTGTGCCCTTGGACTGACACAAATTAAAACAGCAGGCTGGCATCCTCAGAGGACTCAGACCGTGTTCCGTTTAAGTGTTCTCTGCATTTGGGGGACAAAAAGGAGTCTGCAGTTGCTAGACCAGGGGTGGAGGGGTGGGGCAGGTTTCCCAGTGACATTCTCCTAGGACAGCCCTTGCCCCCCAGTCGGGATGGAAACAACTTCAGCTCCACTTTGCCGGCGTTTCTCTCCCCCATGTCCGTGTTCTTACAGCTTCTTCCTCACGGCCCTGGGACTGTCCTGCATCCTTTGAGGAAATCTAGCCAGGTGGCCCCTTCGGGACCCCCGAGCAGCCTCCGTCCATCAGCTTCTGAGCCCAGCTCTCCGCCAGCTAAGGGGCCCTTGGCTGGCCTTTCTCTCTAAAGCACCCTAAGGCGACTACGGCGACGGGTGAGTGACTGAGAGAACCTGCAGCTGTCCCCTGACGGCAGTCCCTGTGCAGTCTGCTTGCAGTGAGCCTGGGTGAGCATCACCTGCCTGAGCCTTGTGCACCGGGGCCGCCATCACTGGGTGAAGGGACCGTTTGTAAACAAGGAGAGGTTTGCATGTGAACTTCAGAGGTGGTAACAAGCTCAGTGATGTGAGCAGCACTGTTTTCTGACCTGGAGCAGATGGGTGGCACCCTGGTAGCCCCATAGGTTAGGCGCTGGCTGTGAGCTGAAAGATCAGCAGTTGGAAACGCCCAGCGGCTACTCGGGAGAAAGACGGGGATTTCTGCTCCTGTGAAGAGTGAGTCTCGGAAAGCCACGGGGGCAGCTCTCCCCTGTCCTGTAGGGGCGCGGTGACTAGGAACTGATTGGAGGGCAGTGAGTTTGGCTTTTGTGTTTCGCTTTTTTTGGATCGTTGATGGACAGCTTCAGCATCCATCTGCCTGCCCCGGCCAGAGTGGAGGGGACTAAGGAATGGGTGTTCTTAGGGGCCTTTCACAGCAGCGCCCGGGCCCATGGCAAGCTCCTGCTATGTAGAAACAGGGGCCGTTATGGTGAGAGGCAATGCCACCTAGTGCTGCTGATACCACCACCACCATCCCCAGGTGGTGAGCCCCCTCCCCTGGCCCATTTACTTACGTAACACACTCCTCGGCTCATCATGGCAAGACCCAGCCCCTGCAGGGCCCTGGAAGGCAGGGCCGCTCCAAGGATGAAGCAAGGCGATGCCACAGACCCACAGCCACCCCAGGAGAACGTGGAAACAAAGAGCTACGGTTTTATTGGCTACGAAACGTCCTAGCAGGTTTCTGAGGGAGCACAGAGAGCGGGCGCGGACAGTGAGATCAGGGATGGCGTCTTCGAGAGCTAACCTTGAGGAGAGCAATGAGCAT